AAGTTGCTATTTAACCCCCCCCCGCGGCTGCTGCTGCCTGCGCACACGGCCACGTGCCAGCCTGTGGTGGGACCGAAGACCCCCCTGCTTAGGGGGCTGCTCTACAGTGGAGAGGGCCTGCTCACACAGCAGACCCTACATCTGGACATCTGCAGAAGTGCTGCTGGGGGCTGATCAAGATCTCAGCCCCCCCCCCTCTCTCCTCCAACTGGCTGCTGCAGCAAAGACCAAGACCCTCCTGGTCTTGGTGTACCTTGTGCCCTTGGAAACACCAAGGGCCAGGTATCACTCCCTTCTCCCCTCTCCCTCTACTAACCCACTCTTCTCTTACTGACCCCTTCTCTTTCCCCCACCTTCCACTGCATCTTTTCTCTCCTCCTTTCATCTTCCTCACCTCACCTTTCTCCCACCACCCATTCTTTTACTCTATTTTCTTCATCTCTTCTTTTCTTTCCTTCTTTCTCCTCCTTTCTTGATCCCTGTCCACCTTTCCCCATCCCTCCTCTCCCCCAACTACCTCCCTCTTTATCTTTTTCTCTCCTCCCACCTATTTCTTTCTTTTCTCCTTCACTTTTTCATTCCCCTTCCCCCCTACTTCGAATTTTTTTCTGTTTTCTTCTTTCCACCTCTCTTTTGATTTATCTTTTCTCTTTTCCAAAAATTCGAAATCTCTTCTTTCCCACCCTCTTTTCTTATTTTCTGATTTATTTTATTTATTTTTATTTATTCTGAAAATTCGAATTTCTTGGCGGCAACCCTAAATCTGATTAGGTGTTAGCCTTTCTTGCTTTCGGCACACGTTTTGGCCCCGTGGGGGTAACGAAGTGCAGCTGAAATTTTCTGATTTTCTCTTACTTAGTCTTTTTGGCACACTTCGACCCCATGGGGGTAACGAAATGCTGCCAAAAATTTTGAAAAATCAGATAACCCATTTCTCCCCACCTCCTCACATATTTATTTATTTATTTATTTATTATTTCTTTATTTATTTCCTAAAATTTCTTTTTATTATTTGCGGCATCTCTAGTGCGCTCACCTTGGTCTCTCCTTTTCCCTTGGCACATTCTTGACCCCGTGGGGAGTAGGGAAATGCTGCCGAAAATTAAAAAAAAATATATATATATATATATATATATATATATATATATATATATATATATATATTGTTTTCCCTTTCCATCCTTTTACTTATTTCTTTAATTAATTTTATCGCACCCTTACAGGCGCAGGTGGCGACCCTTGCCGCCGGCATGTATCAACTCCAGGACGCTGTGTGTCCGTCATCTCCTGGCTCCCAGTCCGGGTCCCCCGTCCTCCGACAGGGTGGCCACGACGGAGCTTCCTCCTCCGTTGCCCCTGACCCGACCATCTTGGTGACTGTCCACGCCCCTAGCACGACGGCCGCCACGAGCCAGCCCCCCCCTCAGTCTTTGGGCGCACCCGCCCAGATCCCGGTCACTACAGCCACGGTACAACAACCCGCTACCATGGTCTCAGCTTTTCCGGGTGCTCCGCTTCTCCCTTCCCTTCGCACGACCGCAGCGCCACCTGGCTCTCCGCCCTCTGGGATGCCCCGCGCCGCTTGTGCCTCCACCCCCTCCACTCTTCCTCCCGCCACCCC